CGCGGCACACCGCGCTTAAGCGCGGCACACAGGCGCCATCTGCGGCACATTGTTGCCGGGTGCGGCACATCGTGTGCGGCACGCGGAGAACAGTTGCGGCACCCTGATGTGATCACATCACTCATCATTGACGCGTTCAGGACGCGTCGAAGGCACGTCTGACGGTGAGCCACGCAGGTCGGGGGGAAATTTTGGCAACCCGCAGGGAGTTATACATGAAGAGTTAGAGTATTCCATTAAATAAACAACAGGAAGGACAACAAGAATGTATTGAATGTGGAATTGAGTACTGTACGCGTTTGAGGCTCTGAAAACAGAAACATTAAGCACAGGAAAGCGCGAGTAAGAGTACTTGCCTTTGCTAAATCTCGTCAGCCCGGACTCGTCAGACGAGGAGTCGTCATCCAAATCTTATTCTCATATGAGCCCGGGATTCATGATATTGATCTAACTCACCTGTGATGGCATAAGATACCTCACTCGGAATATCCGACGGTGGAAGTGGCGATGATTTACGGGTATCTAGAATATTAGCGCGGGAACTTCAAGGAGTGACCAATAGCTTACCGGTGGCACTCGAACACATATCTGACGACGAAGGCGATGATTTTGCGTTGTCTGGAGGATCCCTGTAAGGGGATATTCGGGTCGTAACTCTCGACTCACCGCCGCCAATCTCGCAGTCCGAGTCCGTATCGGAATCCAAAATTTCGACAACCTCCTGGCCCCCCTCCTTTAGAATACGGGTTTTGACGTCCGCAGTGGCTGAAAGGCGCGTCGTAGACGCGTCGTGCTCGACTTTGACGCGTGTCAGAGGTGTATCCGGTGGCCCGGGAGCCAAATCAGGGGCAGGGCCCGCGGCACCCTGGAGGAAGTCGCGAATCTGGACCACGTTGATCCAGTCATCGTCGATGAAAAGATGCGCGTTCGACGCAATGTACGTTGGTAGGTAGATCTGGTGGTGTGCGACGTGTCAACGGATGCTGGCACGCTGTCAATACGTGGGATGAACGCGCACCGAGCTTCGAAATGCCGTCACGATGCCCTTTGGCAGGCTGTCAATCCATTTCTGGTCCTCCGGGGAGTGTTGAGAGTTCATTGGCCCGTTATTGGACGTGTTTTGAGGTAGTTAGTGCGCGGCTTGTTTGGGCGGGGTAGCGGTAGGAGAGAGAGAGGGTGTAAATATTTACCAAATATTTGCGTTCTCAAGCAAAAATCACGCCATCGTCGGCACATGGCCGTATTCGGAGATGTGCCGCATCTATGTTCAAGTGCGGCACCTGTGCCGCACTTGAACTGGTGTGCCGCACTTGGCATGTGTTGTGTCCATTGCATTTGATACATCCTCGTGGCAGATCACTAAGTTGTGTTCGCTATTTTTTTGGCCTATTTGTTGGATATAATCCGTCGGAGGTACAGTATTTCGGGCGTGCAATTCTTCCTGCACACGCGTGAACTGGGGGTTTTCAAGGTCCTAGAACACGAATATAAACACCCCTGGGGCTGGATTGCAACGAACGGCGGCCCACAAGTTATTTTGCAGTGTTTCGCTTCCACGTGATTCTGCAAAATCGGATGTTTGTAGAAAAATGGCCTCATTCTCAATCAAAACACAACATTTCCCTATAAAACTATATATTTCCAGGTAGCCCTGACACATCTCTATCGATCTATGAAGAGATCCCCAACAACCTTATCCAATCTCGGCCCGGGAATTGCGAATTCGCTTGAGTGTTTCGCTTCCCGGTTAACTACTGTATATTGAGGTTAAAATCGAGAATTGTGACTGAATCCCCACAATACTATGGTTTGGATTTTCCGATTCCGCTTGTGGTTCTGAACAAGTTGAAAGTTGACGCTATTTTTCCTGAGCGAGGATCAGTGGAACCAAGTCTTCATACTGCTGCAGTTCCTCAAAGGATTGTGACACCGATATGTAATAGCAAGCGCCTTACAGCATGCGGTAGTGCTGCATACCGCGGGGCCGTCCACGTGGTGGACGGCGAATGTAAGAAGTGCTACAACGTCACGGTGCCTACTGTACCCCGCCGTATTTCCACCCCCACACCCACCGCCCTTGCTGCCGCCAGTCTCGAGTTATGGCCGACTTCGAGGATCTGAGAATCCAGTGCATGCTCGAGCCAGGCCCTGGCGTCCAATGGCTCACTCAGATTCGTCGGGTGCTGTATCCCAACCACGGCACAGCCCACATCTCGGTGGTACCGCATTTCACAATACACGAAGACCACTATCAGGATTTGTTGGAGAATTTAGCTGACGTCGCGGCTAAATGGGAGTCATTCGAGTTTGAAGCCGATGGAGTGTGTGGCGCAAAACCCCACGGCTGTGTCGCCATTCGGGTGCGCGACAATGAAGGTATTCTCCAGGAGATCATGGATGAGGTGCCTCCTTTGTGCGTAAATCTGCCCACCTTCACCATTCCATATTGACATTCACGAACCTGGCAGGGTACGGCAGACGCACAATCGTTTCCCGCCCCATGTTACGATTTATAAGGGCTCACCGAAGCTGACCTGGTTTCCGTACTTTCGCGAGTTCTTGGGCTTCAAATCACTGCGAAGCAGAGTAGAGGCCAAGCTCAATCACTACAGAAATTTGCGCGGGTGGAGCGTGTCGGGAAAAGTCATAGGGCTACAGCTTCTACAAGGCAATGGGATTCTTGAATCGTACTTATTCGGATCCTGAATCCTGAATTTCAGAGATCACTAGTAGGTCTCATTCATTGTATCAATAGGCATGTATTCAGTCACTATATTCAATACGATCGCTGGAAGTTATGTATTCAGTCACTTATTTAATAGGAACGTTGGAAATGAAGACAAGGAGATCTTCATTAGTAATGCTCTGGTTGTGGTCCTACATATTGACCCAACTTCCTAGTTTGTACGAATTGGTTCGGATTGCAGGGAGCGGTACCTGAAGAGTAGATAAGGGGGTAGAATCAGGTTTTATACGACCTCCTCAGTCTTCAATACACATATCTGAAATCGCGATTCTGCCAGTGCCTGTCCGTCAAATCCACAGTTGAATCGCATGTCATCAGTCGCGACACATTTTCTCCCCTCTCCTCATAAACTGGAGACGAACTTTGGTGATCTTAACTTTTTTCATCCCAGCTGGGTCGGTTTCCTTCTGAATGAAGACATTGTTGTACCCATCGTCGCGGGTAGGCTCAGCATCGCGTCGTTTGTTTTCCGAGATGAGAACATAACGGATAATGCTTACGAGCGCCATGCAACTGACATAGCAGATGCAGCTCACGATCCATGGGAAGTGGTCGGGTAGCTTATATTTCACCTCAGGCAAAATGAGTATGATGAAAGCAGCACGGAGTTGAAAATTACCTGCCACATAAATGCCGAGACCCTGGGATGAGGAGAATTCTTAGCTGGGCCAGAGGGAAAAGTGGAAGAGACACACGTATGCGGTCAGCATAATAGCATTGGTTGTAATGCGCTTGGTATGTCCGGCGGTGATGGCGGAGATCCACGAGAGCGAGATAACTGCGATACAACATAAATGATGAGGTGTGGCAAATACAACCAGGCTCCAACCAAATCCCGTTAATCCGAAACCTATGAGATGTGATAGAGATCAACCTCCCACTCGTTAAAAAGAGAAAAGGAAAGACACACATCATCCACACGGAGAACAAGAGCCCAATCTTGTTACTCCACGGCAGTGTATTCGCCAGAATGGTACCGAGAATGTTTGGCAGCTAACGGACTAAGTTGACTCATGCGCAACTGCCCGTCCTAGAAGAGATGGCACAGGCAGTCCAAATCGCCACAGTTTCAACCACTCCGATGACAAAGTGGTTGTTTTTAAGATGCTGAATCCGAAGGAGGCGATGATGACTGCGTTTTGATTTCTAGAGCGAAGAAACTACATAATAACACACGGGATACCGGTTATCAGGCGCGGTAACTAACAAACTTTATCAAGCGAGGAACAAGCTAGAGACAATAAAGTGTCTGTCAAGAGAGACCATGGAAAAGCCCCATATAGTTGGAACTCGGAGCAAGCACCAGACAGTTGCAAAAGTAGGGTGCCTTACTACTTCTACAGAGTGCACATGAAAATGCACCATGCATTGGAAACATGGGCTGGCAGGTGCCGTGAATTTTATTCACGGGGTGACACCGTGGATGAGCAGGGCATCAAAAGCCTCCGCGGATGAGCGGTTAATCGCCTCGCACTGTTATCATTGGGCGCTGACGGTCCTGAGGAGACGCGGGTTCGAGTCCCGCCGGAGGCATAAATCCAATCAGAATCTGTTTTATTTCTCCCTCTCTTTTGTTACCTTCTTGCGTGGGCTGTCAATCCAGTCGAAACTTGTAATTCTTTCCCCTCGTTCTTGTCGCTGCACAGTGAGGCTCAACGTTGGTGCGTCCTAACAGTGAGAACGAGGCGCATCGCGATCGCGCTGAGACTACAAATATTTGTCCAATCTATTTATGTAATTACCCCTAGCCCCGCCACCTATGATAGCTCCTGTCCCACACCCTGAAACTGCGCCCCGCAACTGGGATGCGGAAGTGCCGGCGGAGCAATGAGGTTGGGTCAGCTTTCTTTTTTTTTTTTTTTGAATCTGCATTTCTATCTCGCTACAAGTGTGCTAGCTACTAAGACGCTGTGCCCCGGAGGCGAATAAATATGAACGGTCGGTGCGAGAGTGATCGTGCGGGCGTGGGTATAGTAGAGTTTGGGAAGGGGAGCTGATGCGCCCTCCCAGTGTCACTGTTACTCATCTGCCCGGCGCTCTTAAATTTCATCCTGGCTCAAGCTCAAGCTGCGCTGCGCCCCCGCCTTCGCCGGCCGTAAGCCACGAAGGCGCGGGGAGCACGGAGAAGGAGGAGAGGAAGGAAGGCAGGAAGAAGGGGGGTGCGCTAATTGGCGTGGAATTTGACTTTGGGTTTTATGTATAGATGTCTGAGTCAGTGAGTATGCTATGACCATGGATGCGGGGAGAAGATCAAGGCACCGTGGATGAGTGGTCAATCGCCTCACTGCTATAATATATAAGTCAAGTGTCATGAGGAAACGTGGGTTCGATTCCCGCAGGAGGCCCTTTATTCGTAACTTTTTTTTTTTCGTCTTGTTTTGCTTGTCGGCTTCCCTCCCGCCCGGCTCGATGTTGGCTTGTAATTTGATTCAATTCAATGCTGGCGTGTGGTGAAAATGAAGCGTCTATCGGCGAGAGGATTCATATTCGTTCATCGTCCCGGATGTATATACATCGCAGTCTTGTCTCTGTTCTATGAAGGCTATTGAGTGTGGTGTCACCGTGGATGCGAGGAGGGCATACAGCCTCCGTGGATGAGTGGTTCATCGCCTCGCACTATTAAAGTCCCTGCCAGGAGACGCGGGTTCGACTCCCGCCGGAAGCATATGATTTGATGCCGCAGGTTTTTTCGCTCTTTTAAGTTTTACATGTGATTCTGGTCTCCTTTCGCTCCCGGCATCCGGTATGAATAGATATCCGTTTTTTCGCTGTCTGACATCAATTGAGTGTGGTGTGCTGTAGATTTTTTTTTTTTTTTTTGCTTGTCTGCTTCCTTATCATTTGTTCCTCAAGTCGAGTGTTGGCTCGATGTTGGCGTGTAGTGAGAATGAAGTGTCTATCGACGAGAGGATCAATATTCGTTCATTCGTCTTGTTGGATAGATATCTCACTCAGTGAGTGTGGTGTGACCGTATTCTCTCCTGAACCACCACCATCCAAAAGTGAAACACTTCCTTGGAGTGGTCGCACCGTCTAAGAACACCTCTTTCGTTATCATCCTGGCCTAATGGTACTGGTCGGCATTGTCGTGGTCATCGCCATTGATCCCGATTATCGACGACATGCCCGAGATCTCTTGGGACCCTCTGGATTGGGTTGGAGAGTATGGGAACAAGGTGCTCATATCCCTGGCATATTCTCAGGCCCATCGTGGGCAATAGGCACCCTCATTAGTCCGTTTTACCACTGAACCCCTGTCTCTGGCGGTGGAAACAATGGCTACAACTTCGCGTTTGGATTCGTCTACGAATTCTGTGGGGCTAAGTCGTCCACCGAGATTGAACTGCCCATGCTGCACACACACACACACAAGATAACTGCCCATGCCATGCATGCACACAAGATTCAAGTCTTGGTGTGCGACGGTTATGGTGCAACCGACACCGTGGCCAGGCTACAGCCTCGACCGCGAGTGAACTGCACACTGTGTCACAAGATATAGGTCTTAGTGTGCCAGCATGGTGGCTGTGGATAAACAAGCACCCAATGTGCACCTGTTCAACCTTGTCAATATAGAAATTCTCTGGGGTAATATAAACCAGTCTACTGGTTAATCCTAAAGCCTACGAGAGAGCAATACTGGATGCCGACCTCTGTCTCACCAACCGCCCGAGATAAATCACATCTTTGCTCCTCACTCAGATCTGGTTGCGGCAGCATGTATAGCTGGACAATGCACCTTCATCTGACCACCCACCTGTTACTTCCTATTTCGTGAGAAGTTATCTTAAACATGGTTTGTATCGTATCGAAGGGAAGCCAGGTGACTGTAGCATGCATATAGGTTGTGTATGTAGGTACAGCAGCCGTACATTCCTCATTGGGACCACCGTGGTAATGAATCCTCCTCCTCCTCCTGCTCCCCCTCCTCTACCTGTGGATGCGGGACTGGATCTAGCCTCCGTGGATGAGTGGTTAATTGCCTCAACTTTGTAGTATGCGACAAGGATTTTAATGAGGAGACGCGGGTTCGAGTTAGTCTCTCAGAGCCAGACACTTCAATCAAGTGAACCTCGTACCTTGGTTGATTGAAGTCTGTGATTAAGCGCGGGGGTCCGATCAGGGTTCGCCCTTATTACATAATCTTCGCTTAGCTGCGTTTTGGTCGTTTTCGCTCTGCGGCACCCTTTTCTCTGTTCTCTTGGCGTGGAACTCGACATTAGAGCCTTTTGGAGATGATCTGCCGCTTTGAATTTTTTCAAATGGTGCGTGAATCCACGCAACAACTCATACTTCAATGCGATGGACATCAACGTGCCAAAAACCCATCAACTTCACTCATCAATAGCTTCGGCCCACGGTGCTCAAAAAATCTGAGAAAATTTGGGTGCACAGAAAACACCTCTACTATTCTGCCGCGGATATATTTGAGATTCAAGGACTGGGGCTAGGGCCTCAAAATGTGATTATGTAATAAGGGCGAACCCCGATCGGACCCCCGCGCTTAAAACTGGACTAGGTTCGAGTCCCGCCGGAGGCGTAGTCTTTGTAAACCTTTTTCCTTTTTCTTTTGTTTGTCGCCCGTTTCACGTCCAGGACTTGCGCCGCAGGGAGGATTCATATTTGCTCATCGTCCTGTATGAATATATATGTGTTTTTCTACGAAGTTAGTTGACTGTGTGGGGGTATACGGTAGATGAGCAGGAAGAATCATGCCTTCGTGGATGAATGGTTAATTGCCTCAATTTTGTAAGGATTCTATGATCTCATTACATGAGGAGACGCGGGTTCGAGTACTAGTCCCGCTGAGGGCGTCCATGTTGTACATGTTTTTTTTTTTTTTTTTTTTTTTTTTTGTGTTTAGTATTTTGCTTGTCGCCCGTTCCACGTAGGGCCGCCGTGTAATTCAATCCCAATTAATGCTGGTGTGTGCTGAGAAATTAGAACGAAGCACGTCTATCGGCGGCAGGCTAATATCGAATATTCGTTCATCGTCCTGATCTCAGCCAGTGAGTATGGTGTGACCGTGGATGCAGAGGTGCGCTCAAGCCTCCGTAGATGAGCGGTTAATCGCCTCGCACTATCATTCGCGATACTTGGAGTGCGTGTTGTGAGGAGACGTGGGTTCGAGTCCTGCCGGCGGCGTACATTGTAAATGTGAACTTTTTTCTTTTTTTTCTTTTTTTTCTTTTTTTCTTTTTTTCTTTTTTTCTTTTTTTTTTGTGTTTTGCGTGTCACCCGTGCTAATCTAATTAATGCTGGCGTGTGCTGAGAAATTAGAAAGAAGCACGTCTCTCGGCAGGCTTAATATCGAATATTCGTTCATTGTCCTGATCTCATTCAGTGAGCGTGGTGTCACTGTGGATGCAGAGATGCGCTCAAGCCTCCGTAGATGAGCGGTTCATCGCCTCGCATTATTATTTGAGAACCTTTGTACACATGTGAGGAGACGCGGTTTCGAGTCCTGCCGGGGGCGTACATTATCTATATGTCTTTTTTTTTTCTTTTCTTTTCTTTGTGTTGCGTGTCGCCCGTTACAAGTCAAGGGCCGCCATGTAGTTCAATCCAATATTTTCGTTTTGCATGTCCGGTTCCACATCGAGGGCCGGACGAGTGAAAACGAAATGCTACTGTGTTACACAACATATAGGTCTTAGTGTGCCAGCGCAACGGCTGCAGTGGCTAAACAGGCACCCAATGTGCACCTGTTCAAGCCCTATCAATATACAAATTCTCTGGGGCAATATACACCAGTCTACTGGTTGATCCTAAAGCCTACAAGAAAGCAATACCGGATGCTGACCTCTCTCTCACCAATCACCCCGAGATAAATCACATCTGTGCTCCTCACTCGCGACAGATCGAGATGATCTGATTGCGGCAGCATGTATAGCTGGACAACGCACCTTCATCTGACCACCCACCTGTTCCTTCCTATTTCGTGAGAAGTTATCTTAAACATGGTGTCTATCGTATCGAAGGGAAGCCAGGTGACTGTAGCATGCATATAGGCTGTGTATGTAGGTACAGTAGCCGTACATTGCTTATTGGGACCACCGCGGTGATGAATCCTCCTCCTCCTCCTCTAGCTGTGAATGCGGGGCTGGAATCCAGCTTCCGTGGATGAGCGGTTAATCGCCTCAACTGTGTAGTATGTGATAAGAATTTTAATGAGGAGACGCGGGCTCGAGTCCCGCCGGAGGCGCAGTCTTTATAGACTTTGTTTTCCTTTTCTTTTGTTTGTCGCCCGTTCCACGTCGAGGACCTGCGCCGCAGGGAGGATTTATATCCGCTCATCGTCCCGTATGAATATATATGTGTTTTTCTACGAAGTTGGTTGACTGTGTGTCCCTATACAGTAGAGGAGCACGAAGGATCGTGCCTCCGTGGATAAATGGTTAATCACCTCAAGTTTGTAGCATTCCTGAGCATCGTTGCATGAGGAGATGCAGGTTCGAATCTCGCCGAGGGCGTCTATGTTGTGAATATTTTTTGTGTTTGTGTTTTGTGTTCTGCTTGTCGCCGAGAAATTAGGATGAAGCATGTCTATCGGCGGCAGGCTTAATATTCGTTCATTGTCCTGATCTCAGTCAGTGAGTGTGGTTTGACCGTGGATGCAGAGAAAGGATCAAGCTTCCGTGGATGAGCGGTTAATCGCCTCGTACTATTGCTTCCAAAATGTGTCAGATATTTTATGAGGAGACGCGGGTTCGAGTTCTGCCGGGAGCGTACATTGTAAATATGGATATCTTTTTATTTTCTGTTGTGTTTTGCGTGTCGCCCGTGCCACGTCGAGGGCCGCCGTGTAATTCAATCCAATATTTTCGTTTTGCGTGTCCGGTTCCACGTCGAGGGCCGGGCGAGTGAGAATGAAATGCTATCGGCGAGCACATTCGTTCATGGGCCATGCCATCTCGCCATCACCGACTCGGATATCCAAGTGGCAAGTCTTATCTCTTTTCTGTTTTTCAATCCATCCAGGAGTGTATGTGCACCAGCAACGGAGGATCAGGCCTCCGTGGATGAGTGGTTAATCACGTCAACTTCGTAAAGTTTTGCAATTATTGTATGACGGGACACGGGTTCGAATCCCGTCGGAGGCGTGCGTTGTGTACTGGGGTTGGTTTTTTGTTTTGTGTTTGGTATTTTGCTCGTCGCCCGTTCCACGTAGGGCCGCCGTGTAATTCAATCCAATTAAAGTTGGCGTGTGTAGGACCCCTGACAATCACCCAAAATGCCTGTCCGCCGAAATTTTGAATTCGGATAAAACATGCCCAAAATCGGCCCAAACCCAGGTCGGTTTCGGATAAGAAATCAGAATTCGGTGCCCGACCCCAGGCTCAGAATTCGGATAATTTGTGGGCCCGGGGAGGGAGGCCTGGTCTAATGCGGATAAGAACGGCAAGCTTCGTAGTCAACTTTGCAAAGTGGTTATCATTGTGTCTGACTTATGTTCTGCGTTGGGCGTAGGTTCGAATCTGTGTCTCCGATTTTTTTATTACATAATTCATCGGGAAGATCATGGTCGCGAAAGGTGAGCACATATTCATCACTCCTCCGATTGTTCCGCGCTGACGCCCAGCTTCAGTTCTGAGTGTTTATTCAAAAACAGCCGGGAAAAATGGCAGACATGCCTGGGTGTTTGATTGCTCAACCATCACCGCTGCCTAAAATATACCTACACAGGTTTACGAGTACATGAGTGGTAACCGCCAATTTCGCTCCATTCCGGAGGCATTCCAGCGCCTCCGAATTCCACAATTTGCCCTGGTTCCATCTACATCATTCCTCTGTTTGCTCAGTAATTCACCCGAGACTATAAATGCTGGGATCAGGCTATCGACATCAGATGGAGCATTGTTCAAGCAACTCAGCGGTCGTTTGGGCGACGTTGTGGATGCTGTCAAATCACTTAGACCAAAAAAGAAGATTGGTAAGCCCGAGAAAGGCAAGCGAAAAGCGGTAACTGTACAAGCGGGCTCTGACGAGGAGGAGTCGGACTTCCCGGAGGCTCTGGGTACTTCGTAGATACAAAGGGAACAATAATCCAATTTTTCGGCGGATTTTGGAAGATTTTTAGAAGGCCTGTCCCAAAATTCGGATAAAATCTCGGCCTCCTGGAGGCCAGGTACGATTTCGGATAAGAATCGCCCGATTAGGGGTGCGGATAAAAAGTCCAGAAATTTGGACTTTTCTGGACAGGCATCTGAGGTGATTGTCAGGGGTCCTGCGTGTGTTGAGAAATTAGAATGAGGCACGTCTATCGGCGGCAGGCTTAATATTCGTTCATCGTCCTGATCTCATTCAGTGAGTGTGGTGTGACCGTGAATGCGGAGATGTGTCCAAGCCCCCGTGGATGAGCGGTTAATCGCCTCGCACTATTACTCCAGATACTCTTGTGTGTCGCGAGAGGACGCGGGTTCGAATCCTGCCGGGGGCGTACGTTGTATATGTGAATCTTTTTCTTTTCTTTTCTTTTGCGTGTCGCCCGTGCCACGTTAAGGGCCGCCGTGTCGTTCAATTCAAGTAAAGTTGGCGTGTGTTAAGAAATTAGAATGAGGCACGTCTATCGGCGGCTTCTTTAATATTCGCTCATCGTCCTGATCTCACTCCTTGTATGTTGATTCGACCATGGATGCGGGGAATGGTCAAGCCTCCGTGGATGAGCGGTTAATCCCCTCAACTTTATATGGAAATCAGCCGGATTTTACATGAGGAGACGCGGGTCCGAATCCCGCCGGAGGCATAGGTATTCATCCGCTTTTTTGTCTTCTGGGTTCTTCTGGGTTCTTCCCTGCTTTCTTCGTCTGAACTTCTATTTGCTCGGTCTTCGCCCGGATTTACTCAGTTCCGCTGCAAACGTTGGCGAGAATGCGGCGCGTCGCGATCGCGCAAGGCTACAAATGTTTGAATTATCAACTGCGCAGCGCGTCCAAGCTAGTTACTACTTCTAGCTCCTAACCCGCTCCTATGTCCTAATCGCGTACCCACCCCACAACGGACTGCGGGGCGCCGCGGGCGCGGGAGAAATCAATTAGGCTGAATTAAGTGCCGGCGGAGTGATGTGATTGGGTCAGCTGATGCCGCGCTCCCCATTGTTACTGTCAGAGTTACTCATCCTTTTAAATTTCATCCTGGCTCAAGCTCAAGCTGCGCTGCGCCCTCGCCGGTAGTAAGCCACGAAGACGCGGGGAGCACGGAGATGGAGGAGAAAGGATGGAGGGGAAGGGAAGAAGGGGGGCGCGCTAATTGACATTTGACTTTGGGTTTGTCAGGCGGGAACTTGGCGGGGTCAGGTGGTAATTGGGGCGGAACGCGGGTGTATAAGAACCCAGGCCGGGTCGTTCTGAATGTAGGCTTTCAGTTATAACCCCGCCCTCGCTCCGAGTCTCAACGACAACCCTACCCACACCCACAACCCAATCGTATGTGCTTCGTTCGGGGGGATGCAGTTGCTGATAGCGAGACAGAATTGACAGAGAGACACGATGGCGCCGACGTTCACGTACGAGTTCAAGACGGCGGCGTACACGGGCAAGACGAGCTTCGGCACGGGCGTCTACATCGACGGCGAGTTCCGCGACGGCTCGAGCGGGAAGACTATCGAGTGCGTTGCGTCTCTTCCCTCCCTCTCGATGCAACGCGCTGACGCCGCCCAGCGTGATCAACCCGACGAACGGCGCGCTGATCACCAAGATCGCAGAGGCGACTCCCGCGGACGTCGACACGGCCGTCAAGGCCGCGCAGCGCGCGCTCGAGACCAGCTGGGGGCTCAACGTCTCGGGCGCGCAGCGCGCAGAGCTGCTCGGCAAGCTTGCACGGCTGATGGAGGAGAATCTGGACGAGCTCAGCGCGATCGAGTCGCTGGACAATGGTGCGCGCTTTTTCTGATATCTAGAGGAGAGCGGGGCTGACGTTTACGCAGGCAAGACGTTCGCGTGGGCCAAGGGCGTCGATGTGGCGTTTAGTATCCAGACTATCAAGTTAGTAGCGGATCCGTCCTGTTCTTGTCTTCGCCTTTGCTTCACCCCTTGCGTCTACCCGTTACCCGCCCTGAGCCATTTCTGCCTGCCGCTCTACCTTCCTTGCGTTTCGTTTCGCGTCTGCCCCTTGCCCGGGCTTCGCCCATCGCCTGCTCTTCTCGCTTTGAGCCATTTCTGCCTCTGCCTTCGCTTTACCTTCGCTTCCCCTTCGTCCACTTCTCCCGCACTGCCTCCCCCTCCCCCCTTCTTCTCCGCCGACTGCGGGTCTGTCCGCGCCTTGCCTTGCCTTCTTCCATTGTCTTGCCTCCCTCCCCCCTTATCTACTCTCACCGCTCGTCAACGCCGCCGCTGACACACGCGCACCCCCCAGATACTTCGCCGGCTGGGCGGACAAGATCACGGGCCAGACGATCGAGACGGACGAGAAGAAGCTCATCTACACGCGCCACGAGCCGATCGGCGTGTGCGGGCAGATTATCCCTTGTGCGTTGTTTTTTTTGGAGATTTTTTGAGCGGGCTGCGGTGTATGTCTCGCATACCGTGCCGGCGGCGTCTGGGGCTGTACCGGCGGCGGCGGCGGCGGCGTCTGGCGTACCTGCGGCGTATCGCCTACCTGCGTCCGCGGCGAGGCGAGGCGAGGCGAGGCGAACGCGCTGCCTGAGGACGCGTCTGCTGCGCCGGCGCGCGTCTGCAGCCGCAGGGCACGCGAGACGAGGCGGGCCTCGAGGACGCGCTGGGTAGCCGAGAGACGAGACTGCTAGACACGTCCGTCGTGTCCCTCATGCTGCTGCGCGTGCTCCCGCGTCCGTTCCCGTTCCCCTGCCTCCCCGTTCCCCTTCCTCCCCGTTCCCCTTCCTCCCCGTTCCCCTCCCCCCCCCCCCTCCCCTGCTTTCATCCTTTTACTTTCACGAAGACAATACTGACGCCCGCTCGCGCACAGGGAACTTCCCCCTCCTCATGTTCGCGTGGAAGATCGCGCCCGCGCTCGCGACGGGGAACGTCGTCGTTATCAAGGTGGGTTTCCGCTCTTTTTTCTTCTTTTCGTTTTTTTTTTGGGGGGGGGGTGTTTTGGGGACGAGGCTTGTGCTGCGTACCTCTTCGTTCTTCTCCCGCCCCCCTCCGCCCCCTCCCCCCGGGCTCGCGGGCATAACGGGCTCCGCTGGCTGTGCCCGTCCTTCCTTATCCGTCGCGTCCGTCCTTCCTTCCTTCGCTGCCGCTGCCGTTATCTTCGTCCCTTCCCTTCCCTTCCCACTCCTGAGCTTCTTGTCCCCACGCACCCCTTCTGCGTTCTATGTTCCTCCACGACCCCCTCGCGTCCTTGCGTCCCGTGGCCTCCTTCGTTCCCGCTGCCCACTTCCCGCTGCCCACTTCCTCCCCTTCATCCCACCCACCTACTTCCTCTGTGTCCGCACGTCCATTCCATTCCCCCGCCCCCGAGCCCCGAGCCGTGTGCTCGACTCCTCCGCCCTTCCCCCACACCCCCCCGCCCCCCCGCCACACCCGTTCCTCGATCCCCGTTCCCCGTCCACCTCACTTTATTCCGCTGCACTCGTCCCCTCCACCTTGCGCCCCGTTCTTTCATCGCGTCCCACCTTGCCCCGTCCACTATCCTGCTGCACCGTCTCGCCCCTTCCCCGCCCCCCTTCCCCTTCCCCCGCGCCCCTTCTTCCTCCTTGCCCCCTCGTCTCTTCTTGCTGCCTCTCGCTCTTCTTTTACCCGCTTCTCCGCTTCTCCCCTCCGCTGTACTGTGTGTTATACGGTTATCATGACCATCATTCACTCTTTTTACTCTTGTCTGCTAACACTATCTAACTCGCTCGCTAACCTAACCTCCGCCCCCAGCCCTCCGAGTTCACGCCCCTCACCGCGCTGCGCATGTGCCCCCTGCTCGCGGCCGCGGGCTTCCCGCCCGGCGTCGTCAACGTGCTCGTCGGCTACGGGCACACGGTCGGCGCGGCGATTTCCGCGCATATGGATATCCAGAAGGTGTGTGTTCTTTTCGGTGTTTTTCGTTCTTTCGCATTCCCCGTTGTGTGAGCCGGACGGGCTGCGGCGTATGTAGTCGTGGGAGGAGGGCGCCCGGCGCTGTGTGAGCGCGCCGCGGGTGCACAGGCGATGTGGTGTCGTGGGCAGCTCGCTATCCCCGCCCGCGGCGCGCGGGGGTGCCCTGGCGCGACGGGGGCTCCGCCCGTGTCGTCGTCGCCCCCTTTTTATGCGCAGGACGGGCCCGAGCGCGCGCCGCGGGTGGTGCGGCACGCTGCGGGCGGGTGTGCCCTGACTGCTGCCGAGTACGCTGGCGCGTGGAGGCGCAGCGGGGACGGGGGCGGCGCGCGGCCGCCGTTCGCTGGGTGGCGCTGGTGGCGCTGGTGGTTGTCGTTGTCGTCAGCGGTGCGCTGGATGTCGTCGGCGGTGCGCTGGCGTGTCTCCGCCCGCGCACGGGGTTGGCGCGAGGCTCGTGGCGAGTCGGAGCCCCGTCGTTGGCGCGGGTCGTGGCCGGCTTCCTCACGCACGGCTGGCTCGCCGTCCCTTTCCTCTCTTCCCCCTCCTTCCCTTTTCTTGCCCCTTCTCTCCCCGCACCCGACTAACGCCCTCTCCCCCAGGTCGCCTTCACCGGCTCCACCCTCGTGGGCCGCAAGATCATGGCGGCGGCGGCCGAGTCGAACCTGAAGAACGTGACGCTCGAGCTCGGCGGGAAGAGCCCGAACATCATCTTTGACGACGCGGACCTAGAGCAGGCGGTCAACTGGGCGGCGCATGGGATTTTGTAAGTTTTTGTTTCTATTGTTATTCTATTTTTGGGGGGTTGGAGGCCCGAGCCCGAATATTGTCAGCCACCGGGCGGAGGCGCTTGGGGCGGGTGGCCCAAGTGGGCCGGGAGGGCGCCGAGTGCGCCGTCGTCGCTGGCGCTGCTCGTAGACGCCCTCGGGCACCAGGGTCGGCGGGGACGTCCCCGCTGTTGCCGGTAGTACGCAGGCACGCCCCGTCACCACCGCCGCCGCCGCCTTTCTCCTCTTCCCCCTCCCCCCCTCCTCTCCACACCCCACTAACCCGCCCTTCTCGCAGCTGGAACCACGGGCAGGCGTGCTGCGCGGGCTCGCGCATCTTCGTGCAGGCGGGCATCTACGACAAGTTCCTCGCAGAGTTCACGAAGAAGACGGCGAGCATCAATGTGGGGGACCCGTTTTCGCCGGGCGTGGACCAGGGGCCGCAGGTCAGCCAGCTGCAGTATGATGTGCGTGTTTTCTTCGTTTTGTTTCCTTTACTTCGTGGCATGTATTTCGTGGCATCCTGCCTTTATTGCGTGGCATCCTCGTTGAGGACGGCGGACGGCTTGCGCGGCGTACGAGCATCGTTAGCTGGCGCTTGTCGTGGCTGCGCTGACGCTCGCGGCGTCGTTGCTGCGAGCGGACGTCCCTGGGCCGTGCTTGCTAGCGACCATGGACGGACGGCGCCACCCCACCCCTCCCACTCCCGCTCCCCTCCCCGTCCTGCCTACCCATACTAACACCCCTCCTCCCCCGCAGCGCATCATGTCGTACATCGACTCGGGCAAGGCCGAGGGCGCGACGGTGCACATCGGCGGCGAGCGCCACGGGACGGAGGGCTACTTTATCAAGCCGACGATCTTCACGGACGTGACGCCCGAGATGAAGATTGTAAGGGAGGAGATCTTCGGGCCGGTGGGCGTTGTGATCAAGTTTACGGATGAGGCGGGTACGTTGAGTTCTGCTTCACTCGTTCCCGTTGTTCCCTTCCCTTCCTG